ACAAATGCAGTTGAAAATTTTTAAGCACCAGAATAATTGGTTCAAATTGTAATTATGATGTACTTTTTACCTTCAAGTTTGTTAACACAATCAGAATTTGGATTTATTAGTAACATTTTTTCAAAACCTGAGGTATATTTAATTTCTCGACGAATTATAGACACAAAATTTATAATTTTCAACAAGTAATTTGATTTGTTCTGATTATCAAAATTTACTTTCACAAAAGTGGATAAAAAACGACTAAACTGTGTCCTGTACAAAACATCACCACGTGATGGAATGTTCAAAGGCGTAACTGCAAATGTCCTGTCACTCTGTTTAGACTGATAAAATCAGACGATCTCTGAACCGCCCCAGTAATATTTCTTTCTGCACTCTCATCGAAAGGGTGGCAGTTTTTGCCGGCGGGAACAGCAGCGAGAAAGAGGGTCAGGTGAGTTAGCGACACTTGACTGATTGTAGAGTGTCAATGGCCGACAGGCGAGTGAAAGAAGAAACGGAGAAAGATGGTTGCTTCCAACTTTGTGTGCATTTCCACAGCCGCAAATGTAAGCTGCAAATATACGCATGTGAGACGCTGGAGTGAAATATCCCGCTGGCTGTGTCACCCCTGCCCTCGTGCATTTCTCCCAGGCTAATTAACGTACGCTTTTCTCAAGCCCCGCCACCGTGCTTGTTTGCCAAAGACTTGTGGCACGCGTTGCTTTTAATCCGGAGAGAAAAGCGGCGCGCGAAAAGATGCGATGATGAAGGCAACCACACGCTTTCCAAGGCTTCACCGATTTTGCGGCTAAACCTTGCATAATGGAAGCCGCTAATGATTCCTCCGAGCATGCCACATTTCGGGATATAATATGAAACTCGATCAGGCCCGACCCGAGCTTATGTTATTTGGTAAATTGGAAATTCTTTATTATTTTGGCGTTGTTAAAATTGTGATCGGCTCATAATTTGAATTTAAAGAGTTAATGGTAAAGTGTTCGTTAATTTTAATCAAACATTCAAGGTGTGGTAAACTATGAACTGTTTATCTAATAATAATAACTTATAATTTCTGTTCCATTTGATAAATATTTCAATCTTTCTCCGTTTTATCCTTGCAAAAATGTGTAATCTTCAAAAGATTAAAGTTAGCCGATTATGCATAGTTTTACCAGTTTTTTCAATTTAGAACATTGAAGAAAACTAATTACACTCTGTGAAATATCTTATGGGGGTGACATTTTTTGGTTTAATGAAAATATATGTAATATAGAATTTAAATAGCAACGTCTAATTGCTTTCTTCACCATAATGAATCAATCCATAAATTCCAAAGTACAAATAAATCATTATATTATTTGTTCATTCAAATTTACGATTTTCAGATATTTCCTTTATATCCATCCCAAAGCCAAAATATGAAAATTAAAAAGCTATGTGTAGGTCATTTTAAAAAAGAAGACAAATAATAATATAGTAATAATAATATAATATTCAACGTGTGCTGAAAACAAATTATAATCAATCACTCTCGAAGAGAATTGGAATTTTCCTTCCCTTTAATTTCCTGGTTCAAATGACAGAAAGAAGTTGACCGCACACGTTGACTCCATAAATTTTGTAACAAGAAGATGAAGGAAAATTTATTTCTTCTTAACGAAATGAAATATTTACCGGGGTACTTCTTCTCCACACACTCACGGTCTACCCCTTTGCTCTCTGGAGAAATAACGGGTGAACTTTAATGTTTGCAGCGAGTACGTTCGTCTGACGTCGCCCTCCGACACAGGGTACGGCTAATTAAAAAGTCAACACGAGCGTTTGCGCAAATAAGCCACAAGTCACGTGAATATTTAATTTCGTTTGTTGGCCAAGTTGCTGCACAGGGCGGCGTAGCAACCCTTGCGGCGGCGGCGCGTGGTGCGACGGAGTGCATACAAGTGTGCGTATTTCGACCCGGCAACTTTTTACTTTCCGAAAAGGAGCTTATATCCGCTAGCTTCGGTGCAATATTTCACGTCCAAGCAACACTACGCCAGCCTTTTACTTAATGCCGCTCGTAATTACAAACTTTTAACGAGTCCTGCTGTGGCGTATGCTAATTAGCTAGTTAGCGGTGCCCCCGGGCAAGTATGGCATGGCTGTTGTTCAACCGACGTCTCGGGTTAATTTAATAAGACAAGTGATGTTCGGTTAAAATCAGTAACTCCAAGAAATGAAGATAAAGTTTTGAATAGAAAATATAAAGGTGGAAATTTTACGACTGAAGGATTCAATTAAATGTGGGAATTTAGTTTGCCATTATCCTCTTTTTGTATCCTCTAAAAATTAAGCAAAGTTGATGGAGGCGTTATCCAATTTTTAGCAACTGAAGAACTTCCATTGTAACTATAAAAATCAAAGTGGAGTGAAATATATAAATTATAATATATCATTATTGACTACTTCGTTAGTTCATTATTAGTAAAAATTGACTCTAGCAGCAAAAGATTGCCTTAAAATGATTTTATTAATCAATCTTCCATACATATATGAACAAATTGGGGCTACGCACCGAATTTGTAACAAATATTTGTATCTAGAATAAATTTTATATTTTCATCCTGCCTTGAAAGTTATTTCAATTTTCTGCTTAAAAATGATAATTACTTAAATAACATTTGATATCAAATTTCTTTTTAATTAAGCGCTTAAAAATATTAAATGAAGCAAACAAAAATAAATAATAAATAATAAAATTACTGATTATATCTCAACTAAAATTAATGTTAGTTTAAATTTAAAGCTCTATAACTCTTTTTATTTATTGTTGTTTTATATTTATAAATGTTATATCATTGCTGGCAACAAAACCTAATTACAGTTGTACAATTATTTTTCTTTATATTTAAAAATAAAATTGTGACTCTTGAAAATCCGGAAAACAATTTAATAAAACAAAATTCAATTCTTAAATCCTTGCAACCCACGTTCCTTCGTATGGAGGCGAACTGCCTTTTGTGGAGGGCCTCTTTATTTATATTTACAGGGCCGGAGCGTTTACGACGAAATGATATTCAGTGCTTGGGGCATGCAGGGAAAAAGGAAGGCAAAACAGGCGCGTTTCGTTCATATCCGCCAACAAAGAAAATGCGAAAGCGAGGCAGGAAATAAAGACAGACGAAGCAGTGAGGAGGGCCATTTGCATGCACACAGCATTGAATAATATGCTCTCGGGGAGGCGGGCGAAATAAATTGCGATATATCCACATGACAAAGACTTTATTTCCCAATAGCAGTGAATTATCATGTGCGGCCAGGCGGTTCCATCCTGCGCAAAAAAATATACCTGCTCCGATTGCCCGCATAAATTTTTATTGCCCTCCGATGAAAAATGGCGCATTATTTCTCTTGCTGCAGAACTCGGGCGAATTTATCATGCCTGGAGCACATATTGAAAAAAAAAATACAAACAAGCAGCGTTTAGGCGTCGTCCGGCAACAAAAAGGGCCGCTGTCGCTCTCAAGTGAATTGATGCTATGGTTACCTTGATGGAAAGGGTGTTGCAACAAAGGTCGCCCAAGTAATATTTCTTCCCAATTTTTTAGGGGTCATTCGATTGTGTTGTAAAATGAAACAAACTTCTCGTCGACAATAAAACAAGGAAAAAAATACCATAATCTAGAACAATTTTCAAAGGAGAAGGTATACAATTTTTAATCAGCTTGTTAATCATAATTTAATTTGCTTATATTTCTTTCTTATGTCTTACTAGTAGGACAGGTACTCTTACTCTACTTTTGAATTTTTAAATTTGACGAAAAACCTTTTTCCTTTTTTTTTTTTTTTTTTAATTTATTGCCTATCCAAATTTTTGTATTTTAATATCAATCGTATCAACTACCCAACAATAGTGGGGGTGATCAAAGAACAACCTTACTGAACCTTACCTAAACTAATTTCATCCGCCGCTCAAATTACAAATTTGTTTCATGAAATTTCATACCGTTTTTTTATACATAAAGGCTACATTGATTTCTAAAAAGATTGTAAAAAAAGAATTATTTGATGTCAAATTTTCCCAAAACATTTTGAGAAAATATAACGCTATTGATGGCCTGGCTGCTCATCTTTCTGTCAAAGTGAAAAAAAAAAAATGAAACAAATTTTTCTTTCTTTTCACGAGACGGCGCGCGTAATGAAGGCGATATAATTGGAAATTTTATGGGGGCGCACGCCAGTGACGGATTCCATCATTATTAAGTCGGTGATTAGAGCTGCCAAGCGAAAAAGATCGGGAAGGAATGAAGAAAGAATGAAAGGGCTCTTCCTCATTCACAGAACTGACTGACTGAGAGCTGAAGCTCCTTTAGTGTTTTGCAACGGACCGACAGCGTTGTCTTTTTTAATTTCGGAATGAGCAGGTTTTTAGGAATAAGCAATTGGAAAATATGTTGGAGGTTAAATTTTTTTTGAGATAGCGAATATTGGCAAAAAGCATTGTTAAATTTTGTCTTATTTTTAGGCTAGAGGCTTGAAATGAAAATCAAAATAATCAAAAAATAAAAACAACCAGAGAACCACTGAGCATCAATACAAAAAAAAATATTTTCTTTCCATGTAATTTTTTTTCTATTTTTACCAATAAACAACAATAGCAACTAAACTTATTAGCATATGAATTTTCATCAAAAACCTATTCATATATTATTATGCTTAATTTGCCCTTAATTGTGATGTAAATTAAATAAGAGATAAAGTTAATTAACTTGCCTTTGAGCCTTTCATTACAATACCAAATTCTCAATTGAGTCGAAATAAATTTTTTTTCTTTCTAAAAACATATCGATCTTTACAACTTTGAAGCACGCTGTCATGTAAAAAAAAAAACTCTGCAACAAAAGCAGCGAGAAACATTTGAAAAATTCGTTTTCCGCGTGCGTGGCCAAAGGGAATTGCTTGTGCTTTGTATTCACGGCACGTGTCGGCAGCATTCGCGTAATGAAAGGCTTAAATTTTCATCAGAGAGTACTCACCGGAACTAGAAACCTGCGGATCTCGGCGAGCGCGTAGGCGATTCTGGCGTGCGCCTCTGCCGGTGGAGCGAACGCCGTCACTTCGACGTGCAGATCATCGTTGAGGTGCGAAAATTTGGGGTCGTTTGACGCTCGCAGCTCTTCCTCCTGCGAACACAAGAAGCGTGTTTATTTTAGCTGACCTTTTGTCTCGGCAAAAAGCGTGGGGAACAAGCCGATGATTGCACCCAAGCAAAGCCCCCCGTGGTAATAATTCTGCCGGATGAATCGTCCGTCGGCTTCGTTTGAGCCGTCATTGTTTTTGCCGCTTGCATTTCAATTAATCGCCCCCGGGCGAACGCCGCGTATGTTGGAGGATGGTCTTCAAAGACCGCCGCACCACTCGATTTCGGCCTTGGCCCGAGGGCGCCGAAGCGGGAAAAAACACGAGCAAAACACAGAGATGCTGAGAAATTATGGCGGCTTTTGTATCGTCCATCACGCAGGTCGTCTTGGTAACGTGCAAAAAAGCTTGTTTTGAGCGGAATTTAGAAGCATGTCGAGGTACCCCAAGGCTTAAGTGCATAACAGAGGAGAATGATTACATGTTAAATTTGATGGAAACATATTTGCTGACAGGCCGAAAAACGTTTCTTTTTGGCAACCTTTTCAGCTCAAAAATTAAAGATGCATTAAAAATCTTCATACTCAAGGAAAATAATCAAATAATGTGCATCAATTCGCCATTTCTTTGACCTCTTTGTAAATTTTAATTGTTTAATTCTAATTGTAATATCTGAATTTTTCTTTCATCTCTTTTTTCCAAAAAATTTTATTTCCCTTTAAATCCATCTGCACTGGAGCTTGTTGAAATCAGATTGTCACAAGAAAACAAATAAACAGGATTAAAGTGAAGACAACCTTCAAAAATTACAAACGTACGAAATACGAATTCGTTTTTAAGTCGGAGCTTTTATGTGTTATCAGAAAATAACGTTTGTACAATTTTATCATTAATTTACAATCTACCTTCAAAAATAATTCAGAAATTATTTTTGTACAAACTTTTTACAAAATAAATTACTTGGCAATATAAATAATACCAAATTTATCGAGATCAGACAATGCATTATTAGTTTTAGAGTATTTCTCAATTAATTTTTATCATTTGTTTCTTCTTTTTTTTTTATTATAATGAAATTTAAAATCTTGTTAGCATCTTTAGAAAGAACTATGAAATGAAACATTATAGACTTTTTGATTCAGAATCTTATGTATACATTTTTTAAACAAGGTGAAATTATATATTTTTATAAAACATTATAGATTTTTTGAGATGGAGAAGGTTAAATTGTTATTAATTATACATGAATCGATTCAATTTAGCCAGTTATTCAATTTGATTGGCGGGCTGTTAACCTGAGTCATATTACACTTTTGGATCGCCATCACCATAATAAATAATTGCATTTCCAGCACTTTATTTATAAATCAGAAAGGAGAAGAAAAAATTTAAAAGGGATATTAATATCCCTATTTTCAACATTTATGAACTTATGAAGTAGAAAATAGGTTCAACATAAATTTAAGCAATTCAAATAAAAAATGTAGCGTGTATCAATTTCAACTTATCTCAGCACCCTAATGTTTTATAATCTGCATTTCCTGATATCTCTCCGCCCTTGATTTTCAAGCTGCAGTAATCAAGAATAAGCCAGCGTGAACCCCTTTTATTGAACGTTTCACGGTCTGACAGTTTGAATCGCGAGTTTTATTCATTTGATCCTGCGAAAGAACGAAACCACTCTCGGCAGAAAGAAACAGGCTTTAAATTCATCCATCCTTCATCACAAAGTGATCGCTCGAGTGGCAGACGTACATATTATATGTATTTCCAGATTGCCGACATTTATACAAATAGCCGCGCATTTCAACTGTCATGTTCGCCGGCCGTGGTCTGTGACCGCTGCATGTGCAATTTTTCATTCGCCTCAAACCGCCGTATCGTGTTTCAAAGGCCGGGGGAGAAGGTTAAGTTATGGATCTCTTCTCTCTCCGCTCGTGGCGAATATTGCGAGTGGTGGTTTGCAAATTGCGATAGGGTGGTGAGGGACACACAAAGCGCGTGGTAATTAATTTCGCCGACGCCGCGCACGAGCCGGAGAAATTAGTGATTGTGGCCGACTGCCACTTTTAAACAGCCGAAACCGCTCACTCGCTGGCCGGACCAAGTTGGACGCGTGTGTCCATTGTTGCGCGGTCGTATTGTTTAGCGGTGCCTATTGTGATTTGAGTTCAACGCGGCACCGCCTCCAAACGACACTAATGGACGTTCAGCGAAAGTAAAAGTTTGGCAGTTGCGGAGTTTTGGAACAAAACGTATACAGCGATTCAAAGCAGATGGAAATAAACTTTTGGCAGCTTTTTGAATAATTTCTAAAGGTTTGTGTTAAAAATTATGAAACCTCAGAAGAAAGTTCTCTTTTAACAATTAAAAAGAAAAATAATAATATAGCATTATTAATAAAATATTAATTAAAATAATCAATATAGCATATTATTTAGAGCATAATTATTTAATTTCCAAATGCATAGGATATTCTTTAAATTTTAGAGTTAATTAAAAATATCTCAAGTCAAAAATAAAAGCTTATCATTTGATCACTGATGCGTGATGATTTAAATATTTTTGTTGAATTATGTGACAAAAAAATGCGTAAAATTTTAAATGAAATACCGCTCATTTTTTTTTTTATTTTTGCTAAAGTGAAACAGGAAATTGCTGCATGCTTTATTAAGGAATTAACTTGTAAAAATTGTGATTAAATTACCGGTAAAAACGTGTTTAAAGAAGTTATCAATTTCCACCGATTTATCGTAAGAAACCTTAAGCATAAATGAATTTTCTCAGAACAATTCAATTCAACTCAATAAAGTTATCACAGATTAGTCAAGATTAGTGTTAAGAATAATTTGTGTTTTCCTGACATCCGATTTAGAATTCTCAGACTAGCAATTTATTAACAAAACTTTCTTTGTCAGCCTGCCTTTGAAAATTACAAACCGCGATAAATTCTCTGTTACTTTTTAGAATGAAAAGCTTGAGTGTTCCACGATGGATGACTGGCTTAATGCGCCCATTATGCATTGCGGTCTACGCTACTTTTAATCTAATTTCAAGAGCAAAACTAAAAGTAGTGCAGTATACATCAAAGGTGCAGCTCGGTGTTAGTCTCGCGAGAATAATTGAGCGCCGGTAGAAATTGATTCCGCGGAATTAAACAGCGCTCACACAGAAGAGAGACGGTCAATTAAAAACTTTGCAGTCCCGCCGGCGGGCAGTTGGCGTCCCAGGAGCTTTGTCACAACCCTCGTTAGTGTTCCGCTCAAGTTCGGACCGACCGGGCCTGCTGTCCATAAATTTGAAACTAAGCAAGCGAGAGGAAACCAAGCAAACAACACCGAGTCGAGGATATGCAACCGGGCGCACACGCACGACAAACTTGTTGCAGGCGTCTCGTTTAATGAATAAATGGCAAAAGTTTTTCGATGCACTCAAGAGATAGAAAAAAGGAGACACGATTTTGATTTTATTCGAGAAGTCGTTAATTAATTGATTGAGTAGCAGCGAGTTGGCGCTGCACCAACAGAGAGCCGATTCTCAATTACGGTTAATTGATTTGGAGGAGAAGTGGAGGCGTCCGTGCCAAGGTGTGGGCGCTGGAGGTTTTGTTGTCTTGTTAGACTTGGATTCAAACCTCTCTCGAGCGCACCCTTGAAAAGCACAACAAATATTTGAAGTTCGCTCTACCTCGCTAGCAAGAAGTGCCACCGCCAGAAATATTTGGCCAAGAGAGAGGAGGTATGAAAGAGGTAACGACGGCTGTTCGCTCCCCTGCCGTTTTACTTCACGGAAAAACCATAACGACGCTTTCTTTTTCTTTTATTCAGAAGATTTTTTTCCCCGGCAAAAAGCTGCTTTCGGGCGTCCCTGAGGAGCTCGTGCCAATTTACGGTGGAGTTTAATCATTAATAAGATTGAAATTTTGATTGAATGAACCGAAAAATAATTACTTTGGAGGAAATAAAAAAATTTTTACTCACTTTTTGCTTGTCTCGCATGGAGCCCCTTCCGAGTATCGCCATCTTCGTCATCGTTTCCTCCTGCAGGCGTTTTAATGAATTCCCTTTTGGTCCGAGCAATTTTCCCACGAAATTGAACTGAAACATGAGGGAGATGAATTTTCATTATTATGTTTGCCGTAAGATGAGAAATGATTAAATCTTTTCATTCAGCCTCTGGTGGCGGCCGCCGTCTGCATGGCAGCCGCCGTAATGAAATTCTTTTTTACGACGCGCGCGTTCCACAGGCCCCAATGATACAATATGTACACTCTGTGTATGTATGGTATATATAGGCCAGTGTCAGTGTGGTGTTATATGGCCTGAGAACAATGTAGTTAGCAGCTGCTTTGTGCCTTTAAAGAGGAGCCGCCACTCTATCACTTGCCGCGGTTAAATAAAGATTTTACCGCCCTGTTCGTGATATGACACGGCGGACAAAAATAATTTTTCCTAATGGCTGCAGTTAAAGTATTACTGCCCAATTTAATCTTGCACTTCTATGGTTATCTAGTTTTTAATTGAAATTTTTATTAAAAAATTAAAAGAAACAGAAATACAATATCTCCTTGTCAGTGGATTTATTGAATATAATTCAATTTACAGTAAGTTGGGCTATGAAAAAAAAATGCATATTTCAATTTTATTCCACTGAAGATATTGCACTTTTCTTATAGTTATTATTTAAATTATCAATATTATGAAATGTTAATAACAATTCCGTTTACTTACATTAGCGTCTCTTAAACTCGTAATTCTAATTTTTAATTAAATTTAAGTTAAGTACAACATATCAAATAATAAATATAAAAAGAATGAGATAATGATGAGCAAAATAAAAAAAACAAAAAAAAAAACAAGATTTATTAGTTTGATCAACACAAAACACAATGAACATTATCACCATGAATAATGAAGTTATTTCAGCCGCTAGTTCATATTGAATGATATATATTTGTTTGAACGCTCTGTATTTAACAAATGTTTTAACTTTTACCGGTGTTAATTGAAAAGCTATAGAGTCAAGCACTTGGCTCCCTCTCCACTTTTGAACAGGATGCAATGCATATTAAATAGATCGATTCGTGTGTTCATCGACTTGAATGGCATGCACATGTATGCAATCGCTGCAGGGCTCTATTTATCACGTTTAACTGAAGGAAGTAGCACTCAAGAGCGGGCGGGCGTTGCCTTCGATAATTGCATGCAGCTCGCTTAATTCGCCCCACTTCCACATTAATTACATCTCATATTGATTTACGGCCGATGCAAATAATGCATTCACGATTCCGACGCCAGTCCGACGGGCATCTCTGTACCAGACAGAAAAAATGGAGGAGCATTTGCAGTTAATTGCTAGACTGGAGAAGAAGCATCTTTTTAATTATTTTAGGACAAAACTTCCTAATTTTAAATTTTATAAGTTTTCAAGTAAAAAAGTATTAAAAATGTTTCTTAGCATACTGCCCGTTTTTTAATTTATCTAAGTAAATTTAAATTAAGAATACATACGTGATTTTGATTTCATATTTATATCTTTAAATTTATTTTGGTAAATTTTATTTAGACTTTCAATCAAAAGTTGTAATTTTTCTAGACGAAAAAAACATGTAACTCTAATTGATTCTTTATTATGAACTGATATGTAACAGAAGTAGAATTCAAAATTCTGGTAAACAGAATTCTTTGAAAATATCTGCGAATCTAAAAAAGTCTCAAAAGAGTTGAAAAATCTCATTAGGTCATTTTTCTCTTTAAAATTCCTAATTAAGGTCGTTTTTATTCTCACATATTTTGATTAATAAAATGATAAAATTCTCCAATTTAGTCTGAATAAATATAGGAGCAAATTTTATGTAAAAACTATTGTTTAATGGAAGAGCAGAACTAATAGGCATCCGTGTGAGAATTCCTTGTGAAGGTTCAGTCAATTAATTCACGCTTGCCTCCTCGAGTGCCATAGACGACAATTGAGGCGCACGCGGCCCAATCATTGAGCGAGCACGTGACTCGTTCCCAGACGCTCTCTCTTATTCACGTGTGCTCTCGCTTGACGGCTTGAGTGGAGCATAATTACATCCCTAAAACTAAAAGGGAAGTAAGAGCTCAACTTGCTCGAGATGAACCGGCGTGCGAAACCCTAATTTTGCGTTCAGCCTCGCGCTTTATTGGAACATTCGGCCGTAAAATGTGCAAAGTTCTGCGTGTCGCTGCCGCTTTTCGCCTGTATCAAATTACTTTTCCAATCTAGAAGTTTTGCGACAATTTCGTAGGTATACTATCTATCGAGCCAGAGGCAATTAATCAAAGCTTATAGGGCGAGGAGGAAGTGGGATGGAAAGTTAAAGTTTGTTCAAAGTTTAGATAGTAAACTCCTATTGAGTGGAAAATTTGATCAACTTGAAATGGCTCAATTAATATATTAACTTCAATATATATTTAAATTCCCTAACAAAATAATTTGTTCATATTATTTTGCGATTAAAAATTTCAACGGAACATTATTTTTTTGTTTAAGAATATACAGCAATACTCCCAACACTTAAGAAAAAGAGTATATACAATTTCTATCAACATGGATCTTAAATACACTTATATTTTAAATATATAAATGTTTGATTCAAATTTGAAAAATGATATTTAATGAATAACAAACCAAATATATTTTACAAATTCTTAAATTTAAAACATTATCATTTATCATATTAAAATAACGTACAATTTTTAAGAAATTAAATAAAAGCCTAAAACGTTGAAAAATATTTAATTTTAATATATTCCAAATAATTTACTCATTAGTTTTTTAATGTAAATCAAATTTTTTTAAAATTATATAAGTTTTGATTAAGTAAAAGCTTTAAAGAGTTGTGGATTATTTTTTAATAGGGTTTCTGTCTCCCAACAATTGTTTTTTTCGTGATCTTTTAATACTTATCATCTTCTTTTAAATTTGTATCCCTCACATTACGGAATATAAATCGATAAAAGCCTTGCATTACTTGAATTTTACATTTATTGCCACACACAAGCGTAAATAAATCAAATTTGTAACGAAGATTTTCCGTCCAATATTGATGGTCTAAATCAATAATTTTATAAATATACATTCACAATGTAGAAATGATGGTCTTACTATAAATCTTTCTCTTAAATAGACAAATAGGGACTTTTCGCAGTTTCCAATAGTTTTATCATAGTCGTCGAGCAAGTTCTTGCGAATTGCAAAACAACCGTCGAGACAGAAGTTGGGCCATCCGAAATCGATAAAGTTGAACACAAATAAAAGCGACGCCGGCTCAACTTGGTAGAGGGCCGACAATTTGATAATCAGATTCGCAGGCGAGCGCAAATCTCCCAGGCGGAAAACAAGCAACTGACTCTTTTTTCGCCACCACCGAGAGACAGACGGCCAAAAGGACATCCTTTTAAGGGTGCAACCCTTTGAGATTTGCAACCACTTGTTAGCCAGAACATGGAAACATCTATATATGTACATTTTAAAAGAAAGAAATAAAGTGACACATGAGCAATAAAAAAAAATCACCAGCCCAACGCCAGCCTTAATGAAAGAATAAGTCTCTCTTTCTCTGCACACAGTGCAAGCGAGCATGGAAAAAAGGCCCGCTTTGTCCGACATCAAAAGAAATAATGCTTTGTGTGTTCTGCCGTGTATTCTCCCTCTCAGTAACTTATTTAATGCACCGCTTCCTCTGCGTCTTTCCTCTCTTCGCATACAGAGTATCACGGGTTTGCTTATGGCAAACTGTTCAGCGAGGATTTTTTACTTCAGATCCTGAGGGTCATTTTTTATTCCCGGCCTGACAGTTTAAGAGACGAGTCTCTACTCCGTTAACCTTAATTTCCCAGCGATTCTCGAGCTTTCAGTCAGCCGTACGTGTGGGTGCCATTTGATGGTGACAAAACAAAAAATGACGGCCTTAAAGACTTATCTCCGAAGCGAGAAATTGATGATGTGCTTCCTGCTGTTTCTTTCTTTTCGTCTTTCTTGGAAATAAGCTCAATTTTTAGAATCAATTGTAATTTACACTCAGAAATATGTCAACCTAGACGTTTTTTTATTTATTTTTTTTTAATAAGAAAATATAATAATTATTTTCATGGACGCTAAAATTTGCTTGATAATTTTTCATTGGTAAAATTTACTTAATTAAATTTTAACCATTCATCAAGGTTCAAAAAAGTTTTCAGCCCTACATTTGTTTACTGGTTAGTTTTTCACTAATCTTCCAAACCGAAGACCAAGAGAAGTGACCGTACGTTGGGAAAAGATACGCAAAACGACGTGTCAGCACCGAAATAAACAACAAGGATTATTACCTAATTTCATACCGTCGGATTATGCAAAAATATGAACGGTGCTACTTTTTGCGTTCAATTTGCACGTGTGTTGCTTGCGTGTTATCTTTTTGGGCCTTTTTGCGCACTGCACGTGAGCTCTAATTACGCTTTCTCTTTCCACAGTTTATGGCCGTGCAACTTTTTACTCTACAGGCATGGTGAAATTTTTAGCTAGATTAAACCCGAGAGTTGGTTAACAAAGGGGAAACGAGATGTTTTGAAAGAGGAAACAAAGATAACTTAGCCGCTGATTAGCGTTGGGCACAAAGAGCAGCACTTAAGTTGATGCGGCGGAAAAACATCAAAAATTTATCTCCGTACCAACAATGCTCTCTCCCGCATTTAGTGCAAAAAGAGAGAGTGAGTGATGAGCGAGCGGCAGACAGAAGAGAGTCTGTTGCTAATTGCTTAACCGATAATTCGTACAAGACTGTAAATAGCCGCTGGCAGCTGTTGATTGATTTTACTTGTTTTGGTAATTAGCCGGCCGATTGTTCACGTCGCAATTAGCAAAGCTGTACTTGCCTTTTGGCAGACGAGCAATTATCCAGTTACACGCTGTCCTTGTCAGGTGACAGAGTTATGATCAAATCTATAGGAGATTTGAAAATTATAAACAAAAATAAATTAAAGAAAGAAGCCGTCAGAATTAAATTTTTTATCTTTCAAATTTAGCTGGAAATTTTGAATTTGACAGATTATTTAGAGGATTTGTAAAATTCAAGTTACTTGCTTTATTT